ATTCCGGTACCGGGAATCGAACCCGAGCCTCCTGGGTGAAAGCCAGGTATCCTAGCCACTAGACCATACCGGATCTGTGGTTATAGTAGAATAATAAGAGTTAAATGAATACAACTACCTATAAATTCATGATAAATGTTTTATTTTATAAATATAAATAAAATATTAAGAGATAACCTATTATATAAGTTGAATTAATTACTTTTTTTTATATTTTAAAAATTCATTTTTTATACCATTTACATATTATGTTGATATACCTATTGGCTACTACTTACTATATAGTGTCCTAATTTAAAGTAATTTAATACATTAATCCACAAGTCGACACGTCGTCAAAACATTATTTATTCTATTATTTCTATTATAGGTTATAGGTAGTACCTATATCATGATTTGATTTATTAATGAAATTCTGAACTATTTTGCCAAGTGACAACAAACTAAGGAGTGTCGAAAAGTTATATTGATACATCTACTTTTCTTGTGTTATGTCAATACAACATGTACCTAATACCTATTGTCCCTACAAGGCTACAAACAATATAATACTTTATAATTGTAAACAATTAAAACGTAAAATTAATTTATGTTGTGTAAGTCATATTATCTACAAAAGCTAATTTATTATTTGCTCATAATATTTTTACAAATATATATTCTGAATTTTGATAATCTGAACTATCTTCGTCAAGTGTGGCCAGACCTTTTTCTCAGAGGCTGCAACCGATAAGAGAAAATCTGGTATTATTATTGGGTATTGTAAGGAGTTGGATGTAACAAAATAATTTTATTGGTTCACTTCAAGCTATAATTAACAAACTTTTATCACAAATAATGTGCAATATTATTTAGTTATTTCTTATAGTTTGGTAAATATATCTATCAAAATGTGGACATTTTATTAAATATTTGCACATAAAACTTAACATTTCAATTTAAATAGATTCCTAAGATTAAAAAACGTAATACCATATTCCTCAGAAAGTTATATTACCTAAATAAATTAAAAATTTCGGTAATTTTATTTGTTACGTGTTTTAAATTTGAATTTTCCGTCTCCGCTCGATTCGTTTTTTATGAAAGTACAATGATTTATTGAAATTGATAAATTCAAATCTACTATACGACAGAAGCAAGTACTCTGATTTCTTAAAATCTTTATGTTAAAATTAATGCACTTGATTGTAGTTTACACAAGCAGTCCAAGATAAGAAATAAATAATTTTTCTTTTAGTAAATATATTTACTACTTTAATATTAGGAAAGAAATAAAAAAATATTCTATACATTTATATACTTATAGAACTTTTTATTAGACATTTTAAGCAATATTTAAAAATAAAAAATAAGAATTATTTTTTATTCATTTTTAAAAGGCTTGAAAGGTTTTTAAGTGAGGTTATACCTTTCTCGATTCTTGCCAACGGTAGTGCAATCCAAACTATAAAGTTAAGTTTAGTAATTAAAAATCCCTAATTAGAAATATAGACTCTGCTGTACAATTGGTTTTTAATGTATTTATATCGTCATTAAATAGATCAGTGTAATGTATAAGTTGTTAAATTTCAATTCAATGATAAAAAAAAATAGTTCTAAGTAAAACAATTTAACTTGTTAGTAACAATTATTATTATAAATTTTATAAATTAAACCAATTCAAAGATAAATTTATATTATTTTGTAATTTTTGTTATTTAAAACATATCTTTTGTATCTGTCTTAGTCTTTAAGTATTTCATAATAAGAAAATTCAAAATAAATTAAAATATTCTATAAAATCAAGTCATTTGAATTTTTTGGAAGCTTATCTTGGAAAAATATGATAAAAATCTCAAAAAGTCTTAAACTAATTAACATTAATTTGTCACGTGTGATGTTTTTTATATTTCTTTAAAAAATTAAAAAATACTAAAAAAATAAATTCAATATTTTACAAAATATAATAATTAAATAAAATATAACAAAATATTTTTTAATAAAGCTCATAACAGTAATAAGTGCTGTAATTATATTTTCTTGGATGGAATCAAGAATTAAATATTCAAATATTTTTTTAAGAATAATGTGGTGGATGGTAGAATTGTATTTTCTAATATAGTCATGATTAAAAATGGATCATTAATTGTTCTTATAATAAGTGTTAATTGTCCGACTATTAATTAATAAATAAATAAAATTGACATACTATTCAAATGCGTGTTAACAAATTTTAATTATTTTTTTCTGACGAAAGAAATATTAAATAAATTCACTTATTTAAAAAGAATAATGAAGTTTCAAGCTAATTGCATTTACACAGAGTATTTGGAAGCAGAATTTGGTATAAAAGTCATACAATATTAAAAAAATAACTATGATCTAACAAAAAAAAAAAAAAAATACAAATTATGCGGGAAATCAAATTGCACTTATCTTAGTTGAATTTCACTTAGATTAAAATAAGGTAATGGGTGATCTGTACTAAAAAAATAACGGTGTTTGAAAAAAAAAATAAACTTAATTTAACAATTTTGAAAACACGAATATTCCCTTCAACTTAAAATATAATCATTGGTATAATATAATTTATATACACATATAGAAAATATATTATATTATTTAATGAAATTAATTTTCGTTATAATTATATATAATTATTAAAGATATTTTTGAAAAATAGCTAAAAAGTGCTAACGCAATGGTCAGTATTTGTTGTGAGTTGTGATATACTCGAAAAATGTAAAAAAAAAATTATTATATATATATAAGTATACATCAGCATAATAATAAGTAAAAATACTAATTTTTAACCATTCTAATGTTTAAAATAATTATCAGTAGTCCTGTCAAACCATTAGGTACTTGTTTTTCACCCAAGTTAAGTTCAATCACCCTGGAAATATTTACCTCAATAATTTGATTTTAAAGTTTAAACACAGACATTCCTTATTTTTAAATTGCCTTAAAAATTAATTTCTGTGTTATATTTTAATAAAAATGATAAAATATTTTTTTCTGTTTTAAAAAAAGGGAATAATTATTTACAACTGTCATAAAGTAAAAAGGTTTAGCTCTATCAATGTTATTATATATATGAAAAATGAAGTTTCTTGGAACATAGACAGGTCTATTTACGAAAAAATTTTAAAATTTATAACTAGAAAATAAAATTTTTTGATAGTTAAATAAATTATATCTTATAGGTAATTCATTATTATTTATTATTATTAAATATTTCTAAAACACAAGTATTCATTATCTATAATTCTATACATTGTATGGTCAAAAATCATTTAAGTTAATTATTTATATAACTTATTTTACCAAATTGTTTATTTATTATGGTTTATAAGAAATATGTTTTTTTAAAAACCTAAAAATATTATTAAGTATATCAAAAACATAATGTTAATTGAAAAAATATAAATTATTTTTATTATTTAAAAAAATTATATTATTTGATAAATTTTAAATAATATTTATTGTTTATTAATAATTTAAAATTATGACATGAATAATGAAGGGGATATAATAATATATGTTACGATAAAAAAGTTAGCGAACATAGCGATCGTTAAGAGATTATATCAAGGTTCAAATACATTTACAACTTAAGCTTCCTTTTTATAATTAATAATTATATATCTTGTCGAATAAACTACTAATGCAAAACTTCGTATTACAAAAAGCCTTAGCCACAAAAATTGAATATTTCGTACATTTTAAACTAGGCACAAAGTAATTGGTCAATTTTTGTAGTTTTTGACAAATTTTATCAGCATATTAACTTTTTTTTTTATTAAAATAGAGAAATCACAATCCGTAACATAAGTACAACAAACAAATAGAATACCTATTCGTATAATATGATGTGGAAAATATTCAAATGATAATAGAGTATGAGGAAAGATACTGTTTAGTGATAAAACTCTTATGCGATATATGGTTGGGAATTAAATTCCTAGACCAGCGTATTTTTACCCGAGGGGGTATTTTTTGGCTTGTTAACTACGCCTTAAGTGGCCAGAATTTTAACTAATACATTAATGTCTTCTATGTAAAGCCATGTAAAATCATCTATGTATTGAAAATTATAATATAAACGTTTGATGAAATATTTAAGTATCTATGGTTATTTGTGTAATAACAATAAAATAAAAAATTCCGTTTGACAAACTAATTTGTCATGATTTTACGCTTGAATATTCAATATCATCAAAATTTAAATATTGCTCATATTAATTATTTATAGAATTGTTAATTTTTTTTTTTAATTCCAGTAAAAACAACTTATAAGAAATCTAAAAAAATTTATTAAAAATCTTTTTGATCTACCTAAAAATTTTAACAACACTAATAAAAAAATCAAAAGTTGCACATATCTATAAATAGCTAATTTTAAAACTAATACATAAGCGTTGTTCAGAATGTTCAGATCATTACCTAAAAAAATTTTTTTGAAAATGAATCAATTCATAATATCATACATAATATATATGTATTTTTTTTTTTTGTAATAATATTTTATAATACCATAATAATTGTTCACAAAAAGTAACATTTATAATATTATCTTCATATCTTTTTCTAAAAAAAAAAAATTATTGTCATATATTGACGTATATACTTTAGTGGTTGGTACTTTTATTAAACAAATATATAAAGTAGTTTATGTTATATTTACTTTCTAATAATACTGTTAGAACCATCAATAATATAATGAAAAATAAAATAAAAATATGAGTATATTTTTATTTTAAATATAACTAAATATAAAATATAATAAAATACTTTGTAACTTTAAAATATAATTAACTAACTCACGATTAGAACCATTTTTGGATTTTAATGTAATCTATACACTTTAAAAGATTTAAAATATAATTAAAAATATTAAACAGAGTTTCGATTGATCTGTCAATTTTAAAAATGGTAGATGTATACATGCATTATTTCGATTTTATGTGTTTTTATATTGAAAGACTATAAGTTAGGATTGTTTATTATCATTAAAATAAAATAATAATAAAGTATGAATAATGATTAAAGCTCTTTGTTTAATATCGGTCCAACGGTATCACTGTTGATTGTTGAAAAAATTGACTTGAAGAACAACCGTATAAGGTTTAATAATAATAATCCAATCGTTATAATTGTATCAGACCATTTGAATAAAGTCCATAACAATAAACCGAATAATAATATTTTGGCGATTATATCAACAAAGTACATTCTGAAACAAAAAATATTGAACTACAGTTAACAGCTATTAAATAAAATAATATAATCAAACGATTAAATACCCATTTATAAACTCGGTATTCTGTATAACATCGTTAAAATAAGTATTTTTACTTATTTGTTGTATAAGTAAAACAATAAAATTGGAAAAATAAATTAATTTTAGTACTTAATTTTGTTTAAAGCTTACATTTTCATATGGATTCTAGCTCTAGGCAATGTGTCCGGAGTTTCTTTTAAAATATAAATTCGAGCAGCCATGATACAATCTCTAAAGTAATTTCTAATGTCCATATCGTTGCCATCAATTTTGTACTCAAACTTCTCTCGTTGATTCATAATTCTTCTCATATAATGGACATGTTCGTTTCTGAATTCCCATTGATTGTTTGCATAGTATTCAAAAACTTCAAATCCTTTGTTTATTCTGTCTTGAATACGTACCAGACTTTGAAAGAAAAAAAACGAATTGCGAATTAGTTTACTATCTTAAATCTATTTGTGCTTAATATTTTGTGATATTCAATAAAATTAATGTAAATACTAAATGTCTCTCATACTTTCATTAATGTTTACTGTTTAAAAATATTTAAAAAATAAATGTACTCAATAGAAATCAAATAAATTCAACACTTTTCAATATCAATTATGTAATATAAGACACATTTCATGAACCCAATTTATATATATTTAATAAAATATAAAATATAAATAATTTATTACATTTTATCAACTATTATCCTTACCAAGGTTTATTTCCAGACATATAAATAATAGCATCTAAAAAGTAAGCTGGAATAGTGTGTAAAAAAAATACACAAATATTATGTACCAGCTTACTGTTTTTCATACTACCACCAGGATACCATACTGCACCGTTCAATGGTACTTCAGTAGTAACAATACTTTTTCCAATGTCAATAATTTCTTGCCATGTTACTCTCCATTCTTGGCTGGAAGTTAAGTGGCAAATTGTTCTGCTGGTATCTCTGAATAATAATAAAAAAATAAGTATTTTAAATAAGTTTAATTTACACGATATACTTGATTATTATTAAAATTATATAACAATTTAAGTTATAACTTATAATAGATACAAAATTAAAAATAAGATATAATATGTATTTAGCATTTTTAAGCAAAAAATATATTATTCATTATATTATTACAAACACGTGAAATAAACACCAAAGAACTAATAGAATTATTTATTTAGAGTTGTCTTTACGAATATAAGATAAGTAGTAATAACTAATATTGATTAGGAAATAAAAAGTGAAGTATTTTATATTGTAAGTATTCAAGTAATAAATAATTCATGCAGAACAAAATTAATTTGTATGAGTACTTGATTGAATGTCTATTATTCAGGAAGTAGTTTTCTATTTTAAATAGATTTCAAAATATATAAATAAGTAGATACAAAGTGGTAAGTACCAAATAACAATTTGAATAATTTTATTGTTTGCTTACTTGTTTTCTATAAAATTCCATGTAAATAGTATTATGCCATTAACGGTTATGTCAACTGGTAGATAATCAGCGTAACCTTGATTGTGACAGAACATTGTACGGATGACTCCTTTTCCGGCACCTATTAGCAAGCCCGTCGGACCATTAATATTGTCTGTCCATCCAGGGAGAGGCTCCTTCCATATCGGTATGACTATAACGATGACAAACGTAACAGTATAAATAAAACCAAATAATATTCGAAAATCATCAGCGCGTTGTTTATAAGAGACACTGACCAATGGATGGGCGAGCGATTATACAAGGCATCCCAGCTTCAGATTGTTCCACCACTAAATGTTCAGAAAGGCATTTCGTAAACGCATACGAGTTTGGAAAACTACCAAGAATCCTGTAAGGAATAAAAGATACACATATTAATAATGATCAACATGAGGTGCAATTATACTTCTAACGCCAAAACTTACTCTTTAGATATCGTTTCTACAAAAGGTTCGTCCAACATTTCCATACTTTGGATTATTTTATGCGGATCAGTTGGTGGCGGATAAGCCCTCTCGAATAACACTTTTTCGTCCAAATGGCAGTAAGAAGTCGATACGTGCACAAATACCTGTATAGATTTTAAACTCATTTAGTTCCAGTTCAATTCGTTTTGACGAAAATAATATCCTGTTGTTATGGACAAACGTGGACTTGTAAAAAATCGTACCTCCAAATTTTTCATTTCCTTAGCTAATGCCAATACCATTTTCGTGCCTCTAGTATTGAGCAAGACGGCTTTCTTCAATGCCTCGTCGAACCGAATGGTAGCCGCGGCATGATAAACGATTTGTACGGAGTCCGCTAACAAACGACGGTCCGACTCGCTGATGGCTAAATCTGGTTCACTCACGTCACCAGCTATTGGGTACACCTTATTTAATACTTCCACGCCCCGTAGTTCCTTCAGATGGTCGAATAACTAAAACAGATATAAAGGTGGCTGTAAAAAATGAGATTGTACGTAACACGTATATATCACTACTCGTAATACGTCTGAGTTACATGCAATTAATTTGAACCTAAAATCGAATTTCCGTTAGGATGGCTTTGTATAATAGTAATCAATGCATGAACTTTTTTTCCATTGTACTAAAAGCTTTGAATTTAAAGCTTAATTTAAAATACATTTTATAGTAAATTTAGTTTAAATTATATAGGCCCAAGTGTACGTTTTAAAAGCTACAATATTATCTTTAATGATATATTACCATAATATGACTAATATTATTTTATATTATTATTATGACGATTAATAAACAAATATTAAAGTTCAACCCAAATCGGTAGTATATTATGAATATTCTCATTTAATGAGAACCATTTTAATAACCGAACATATAATAATAATAAAAAAAAAAAAAAACTAAAATCTTTAAAATAAATATGATACTTAATGTAAATTATAAACATTATTTGCTTGAGATAAATATTTTATTGTCGAATGTGTAATCAAAATTTAACAAAACGTTTTTTTAAGAAATTGTGTATTATCCCAAAACTTTATGACGCAGATTTATTTCATAATAGATATTACAACTTAAATCTTAAATGTATGTTAATATATAAGTTATGTAATTTTGCAAGTTTTACCGAATTTAAGTAATTTTGAATATTTAAAGATTCTAAACATATATAAATGCATTATTTTTTTGTCAATAAATGAACATAAAAAAATTTTCTGTTATAAAAAAATGTCATTAAAAATAAAAAGCTTTCACGTTTCCTCATGATCAACTTTACAATGATTCATATTATAAATATAATTCTTTTTTATATTAAATAATATTATTAAGATTTAAGTTTTAATAATAATAAAAAAAAAATGAATAATAATAAAAAAGAGAATTTTTTTCAAGAATATCACAATACTTTTTAAAATAATTAAGCATTTTTTATGTTTATTTTCATATATAAAGGATAATTTAGTTTTTTTAATTTATGATTGTTTTAATGGTATTCAGTTCAGAGCTCGGTTAATAATTATTTAAATTTCTGAGATCCCGCAAGGTGATATCCTCTCCCCTATTCTATACAATATTTTTGCCATAGACCAACCAATCACACCTAATACACTGGTTGCTGATTATGCGGATAATAAGGCGATTTTATCTATACATTCTGATCCCTTCGTTGCAATTCAAAATCTCCAATCTCATCTCAATCTCATGGAAAAGTGGTACACTTTTTTGAAAATAAGTAGAAAAAAAAGTAAAATAGCAAATTGAAAATGTTACTAATGTGTAGCTGCTTTCCTCAAAAATGTCACGTATTATGTATAAATATTATTAGGATATAATGCGTTTTTTCTAAAATTTGTATGTAACTAATTTATATAACATCTACTTATTGTGCCCAAGTGGTATAGATTGTAGATTGCACTTAAAAAAAAAAAAAAATTCTAAGAAATTAATATCTATTATCATAATTCAATACCATTTTTTTAAGCAATTTTAAAATAAATACACTACACACACAAAAATAATATTACAGGTTATCGGGATACGAGAGTTTGAGGAAATTCTTACTACCTATTATTAATTAATGTATACTTTAATAATATTAAAAAAAAAAAAAAAGTTTTATCTTTTTGTTCATTAAAAAAAAGTTAATTATAATATCTATTCTATGATTTTTGAGCAAGTTAAGCTAGTGTACTTTATTTTTTGTTATAACAATTTGTTAATAACAAAAAAACTATACAGCAGAGCAACTTCTCTAAATTTTTTCTTAAATGTATTAAATATTTTGCTCATTGTAACTTTGTTGTATACATATTTACTATTTTTACCGGTCCAGAAAGTTTTGAAATAAAACTTAGATATTAGCACATTGAATTATAATTAATTGAACAAAGATAAAATGTTAATAATATATTTGTAACTACCTAGTTTTAATTTATTTATAGTATATGTGTACTATATAGTTATAGTGTAAAGTTATCGATCACCATATAACTATGCTTGAAATTGATGTTTTACTTAAGTTAATTTAACTAAATTGAAAAGTTCAGATTTAAAAATTTGTCCTTGTGTTTTATTTTTATGATCATAATTTATTTGTCTTGTTCCTCTAATAGATAATATTAAAATATATTCGTGACTATAATATGTACATGCGTCATTGATTGTCACAATAGGAACTCTGGACTTCTGGTGCCAAAATTGTTTTAAGTAGACCAATACCTATTTATAAAAGATAGTATCATTTGGATTTTTATTAGATTATCTGAATGACAAATTGGTATTGAATTTATTTAATTATAATAATATTTTGAAATGATATTTACTCAGTTTTTGATACAATAATATTTTAACCTAGGAACTTAATTTATCTATGTTACTAATTTTTTCCTAAGTTTACATGTATGAAATTGAAATTTTTGAATTATTTTATCAATAGTAGCAATGAAAATAAATAATTTAAAAATGTGACTTAACCTTAAGGACTTTGATTATATACTTAATTTGACACATAGCAAATTAAAATTTAATATTTTAACGTTAAACACTGGTAGATTATAAAACAAGAAACTATAACCCAGAAGTACTAGCCTTGAGGCTTGAATTAGTTCAATTATCATATAAAAAGAATTGTAATTAGGAATTTTTCACTCAGAAGCAAAGAAAAATACCGCTTAATTATACGAAAAAAAAAATTAGGAAATTTCAAAGACAATTTTCGCAACATAACTAATTCATATTTTTATATATATTGTGATTTGTGACTTAGAAAAACTTTAAATAATTATATCATCATAAATATAGGTGGTTGTTAGATCACATATGTTGAAATGTCCAATACGTATCATGTATGCCAATGATAATGATAAATAAGAACAATATAAATAAAATTATGATAAAAAATTAAAAATATAAAACGAATAGTGGAAAATAAATAAATAAACAATTTTTTATAAAATTGTCTCCCCCATTCTTACAACTTATCAGCTACCTGAAATAATTGTTCCCTGTTTCCTTTTCTAAATACGTTTCTGAATAAAGAATATTATAATTTTCGTTAATATAAATTAATAATAAAAAAAAAAAAATTAGAAAACAAAGTATCTAAAACGTAAGTAGTAATTTTTACGATGTATTTTTTGAATTTATTAGTTAGAATGTTTACTATTGTAAATTACAGTATCTATTTACTGTACAAATATCAAATTATATATAAATTTCCTAAACTAAGAACGACTAAACTTTATTATCTTTATAATGAAAGTGGTAGATTGGTAAAATTAACTGTTAAACGATGTCAGCTAATAACTAATTAGTTATAAAGTAATATATTGTGTTACCACATTAGTATAAAGTATGACTAATAGTAATCATAATAATATGTATTGGACTATATTATTATGTTTATATTATTACACATTCTACTAACATGATTAGTTGAAAATGTTTAAAACATAATTATTATAGAATGATTGTGCGAATATTTTTAAGAATATTTCGTAACACCATATATTATATTTTAGACTTTTAGAATACCTATCTATTTGATATTTTAACTTCATTAGTATAGTGTAGCTGACGTGATAGATAACATTAAGATTATTTACATTATTTATTCACTTTTAATACATATATAGATTTATTTATTCATAGTTCATAGCTATCTGATTGATTATTTTAAAATCAAAACTGCCAATAAAATATTTGTATTATAAAGTTCTTAATAGTTCATCGGTAAATTATTTAACTATTAACAAAATTAATTAAATCGTTTTAATTTGGTTAGTTAAATATTCCTTATTAAACAATTTATTTTGCTGTTGTTATTAAAACAAATATTTACAATCTGTATTCGCTAAATAAAATTAGTAATACGTAAAAAAAAATATACAAAGGTAAGACATCTTGATTGAAGAGTCCATTGAAACTACATTAAATGTTACTTTTTCCTAGGATTTATATTTTATTTGTTTAGGAAATATGGGTTTTTATGACTAACATGGTGTCTGGACCATATATGCTTAAACTATATCAAACAATTACGTAAAATTATTAAACAATAAACATGTATACAAATATTAATCAAAATGTATGTACGTATATCACGTGTAAAAAATAATAATATAAAAATTTTGTAAAAATATAAAAATCTACAGTTATTCGTTTTTGAATTACAACAAAATAAGAAAATTGTTTGAATATCGTAAAAATTTATGCTTTGGATGCTTATAAAAAATATTTAAGGAATTATGATCAATCTTTTTTTTTTTTTTGTTTCATTAATAACAATTTATGAGAAATTGGTATTAAGTTTTTAAGTTTTTTAACTGAATGAAATAGTTTTTTGATTGAAAAAAAAATTTTAAAAATAACTGAAAATGTCTTATTTTCTATAAATAGTTTATAAGGTACAAAATATTTTTTAAATGTTGTCATATGTATAAAATAGTAATAAAATTTGGTGAAATTTCAAGTGCCTATTGCTATCATTATTCATTAAATATACCAAAAAAATAAAATTGATTTAGTCGAAGACTAATTTTGAGTAAATATTTGAGTCCTCTTCTTCCTAATGCTTTTGAAAATTACTAGAACAATTATATTTTTGTCCCTCCCAAAATATCAATTATAATTTAGATCCACTTTTTTATTTGATAAAATGTTGAAATTGAAAATCAAAGCAGTTTTATTGCTTTAAAAGCTAATAAAACATATAAAATAGAAAATGTTTATGATATTTAATATAATAAAATCTAATGATTTCACCTTTTATTCTTATTTTTAAATGTTTTTATACTGTGGTAAAGTATTTTGAAAGAATATCGATAGCCATTAGCCAGATGAAAGGTAATCTTTGTTTTTGATAGATGATAGATACCTACCTACTCTTTATACTATGGTTACATAAACCTTATTTGTACTTAGGAAACTCGTTAGTATTATTAATAGGTACATAATAATATTATCCTGTAAAATATTTGTAGTTATTGAATTAATTATTTCAATTTATTTGGTTTTTTGAGACAATATCTACAGGAGAAATCGAATGTGTAAAGTCTATGTGCTTTAATAGTATTGTTATATCAAGATAAAAAGGTATTCATTCATAATAAATTTTGTATTGTACTATTTTTTTATAACAAGTAAATTAATTATCAATTGTATATGTATTTTTCATTATACTATAAGTTACATTTGTATGATAGCCTAAGAAATATATGCTGTTTTAATCATTAGAACGAAGTTTTTAGTAATTAATGGTTTAATCAAACAGATTTTAAGACATTATACGTCATTATTGTTCTTTGAATAAAAATAAATCAATGAAAAGAAATATAGAAATTAAATTATCGTATTTCGTAGCTGTTGGTAATAAAATCCTAATGTTTATAAAGATATTAATATACTATATGAATAACAATTAATTAAATAGATACTCTTATAAGACATTTTTAATAATATTTAATATTTTTTAATTTTGGTAAATAATACTGTAGTTAGATAATATTTAAAAAAATTGTATTCCTGTTAAAAATATTATTGAATTATTATGTTTCAAAGGATTATTGTTCTAAAAAATAAGTAACTACGTATAATTAATTTCTAGTACATATTATAGCCAACATTTGAAAATTATCGAACTCGTTAAAAATAAATAATAATGGAGTATAATTTATATCTATAAATAATTAAATACCTATAAAAGATATACATAATTCCAAAAGAAAAGCACTAATAGATAATTTGAAAAACTTCATGACTTGCAGTTATGGAATTCAAAAATATTTTATAAATATCCAGTCATTGAAAAAATGAGAAAATAATAATGACAATAAATAAATAATGTTATTTTTATTAACTTACCACTGACGAGAAAATAGTTTCAACTCTTTGTTTAGGATTGCTACCTTTTTTTGTTCGAAGTAGCAAATAAATTCTTTTGATGTCTGGACATTTCCTTAGAAGCTTTTCAATTAAAACCTTTCCAAGGAATCCGGATCCACCGGTAATAAAAATGGTTTTACCAACAAAAGTCTGAGAAACTCGATCAGGAAGATGACTTAATTCATCTGGAAGTACGGCTGGCTTATAATTTAAGAAACGTTCTTCGAACGAAGCCATTTCTGAAACAACAAATAAATTATTAATAATCTTTTGATATACATAGTATATAATGATTAAATATATAATAATCGTTTAACTGTAACAAAATAATTGAGTGATAGGTGAACATTAATTTGTCATCTTTATTATTTTATGATGGATCACAAAAAGAGAAGGGCACTTTCTTAAACTCATTATCAAGGTTTTTAGCTTCAAGATTTTAAATTATTTTTGTTCATATTAATATATAGTCACCAACAAGTATATTTTTCGCAGTTTTAGACCTATCATTACAATTATATTTTGTAAGTCATACAATAACAATAGTAGTCGAATTAGCGCAATTATTCATATCATAAGACATATAACAATGGACAATCATAAACTAAAGAATACTATAATAATCTAGCAATGTAATTTAGATATTGCAAACAATTATTTGTATTTAAAATACATTTTTTCTCACGTTAGTCAATTAGATATAGTATTATTTAATATTGTTAGATAATAAATTAATAATATGTAAATTTCCATATTAAACTAAAAGAAAAATATTTTAAAACTTAGGTATCTTTAAGTATCTTTACTCCCCATGAAACTTCTTTTGAACCCCTTGACAAATATAACTTTCAACAAAGTATACCTATTTATTAAATGCACAAATGCACAATACTCGTTACGATAATCGCAACTAATGTCTAAATTGTAAATTGTAATAACTAATAATAGATATAATTAATAATACTAAAATATATCATCATTTACCAATGAAAAAAAGTGAGCCTCCCAAAGAAAATTTTCTGGGTTCAACATTGCTTGTATTAAATGTTCAAGCTTTTTTACTACACATTGAAATGAAAACTAAATAAAGTAAATAATTCCAAATAGTTTATAAATAAAAGTTTATATAAAAAAATCTAAAATAATTTAAAAAATGTATTATGTCTTGGAAGTGCATTTATAAACATTTATATAAAAATTACATGTTTACAGTTATTAAGAGAGATACAAGAAAGTCTATATTATCAAAAACTAATTTTGTGTAAAACTTTTTATTTTTTAAGGATTTATTTTCATTTTTAAGTTTATTTTAATGATTAACAGTAATTATTTACGTTTAAGATGTAAGTAATATCTGGAGGGTACATGTTAATTCTCTCGAATCTATAATAACTTCGTTTTTATGTTATAATTGTATCATAAACATACAGATTTAAAAAAAATTAAGGTGTCTCTAGAATTGTCTTGCAGATGCTACCATCAAAATCGATGATTGGAGTATTTTTTCTACAAAAAAAAAATAGTCTTAGAACATTAAAAGAATGGTACCTATTTTTATATATTTATTAACATCCGATAAAATTTTAAACGTTATATTTAAATATGGGTATACAATTACTGTAGAAGCACCGAATAACTATTATTCGAAGGTATAACCACTGTAATAAGCACCACATGGATGTTTACATTTACCAATTGACCTTAAATTTTTGTATTCCAATAAAAATTATCTATGTATTAACACACAATAAACATAATATATGTAAATATAAATAATACACACATATATATAATAATTAATAAGTAATAATACATATACATAGAAAGTTTTTATTTTAGTATAGTCGTCTCATGTGCGTTGATAAATTTTAAATTTAAACAATTAAAATTAATTTGAATTTAATTAAAGGTACTTAAACCTACTTTAATTCTTATAATGCATAAGATACTTACTCGTATAAAACATAATAATTAATCAGTAATATAAAAACTAATATTTATACAATTCTTAATTCATATAACATGTATTAATAACAGTTTGAATGTTTTAACTATGTAATATTAAATATATGAATAACCACATTGTTTTTATCTACATTGTTAAATTATTTGTATTCACGTAATATGCATGAAATAATAACAATAATTTATACGGACATGATACGTATTAAAATGTGTGTTATAACTTATAACTTATAAGTATTTCTTTCGCTAACCTAACCACTTATTCAATTTTATTTTGATAAAAACTTCTTTTTTAGAAATTTGTTTTGAAATAATATTGTAATGGTGCTAAAAAGTGTTTTTTTTTTTCAAAATACAAATTTTAAGTATTGACAAAATCTTTTTTTATTGACATTTTTAAATACATATTATTATGAAAATAATTATTTAATACTTTTTTACATGGTGACGCCGTTTTAATTCTGCTTTAAATTTTCACATTAATTATTATAATATTATCTATACTACTTGTTCTATGTAAACGAATAACAAATAAATTACAATGTATACAAAATTATTTTGGCAATTTATTGCACTTGTGACATTATAACATTTTATCATTCATTTTGTGGGGATAAATATATTTCTGTGTAAAATAACTTATTTTATATGTTTTACCTTATTTGCTTATATTATATTGTTTAATAAACAAAATCGTTATTCTACTCAATAATACAAGATAGTTATAACTTTATAACTAAACATATAATTCGTTACATATTTATATATAAAATAATATAAATATTGTAGTCATATAATATTGTAATGTAAAATTTTGATTTATTTTATATTGCAGTAATTGTAATATAATATATCGTTAATATATGTTCTTATTTATTCAATATTAATAGCATAACTTCCTATCTCTGACACAAGCCATAGAAATGTACATGTTGTATGTTAATCAAATCTTTAATTATGAATAATATCAAATCTTCAATATTTTTGTGTGATTTTCTTGGTAGAAAATAAATAAATATATCATTATTCATTAGCATTCATGTTTATTATAAATGTATAAGCAAATAAATACAGACATATCAAACGCTATGATTCTCATAGGTACTAATGAAATATATTCAAAATCAAAACTCTGATTTAATAAAGTTTCAACTGCCGAAATATTATAAAAACTAAAACACATTATGTGTTAAGAAATTTCCATCAAACAAAACAGTTAACTACCTAATTAAAAATTAAATAACCGCAACACTCGTGGAAAAATTAAAGAACAAAATAAATTCCTCACCTTGCTCAGAATATTTAATTAGATATATCGATAAATTAAAGTCAGTATTTCTAAGAACATAATTTTAACATATTTTCTATAAAGTTCTGTCAACCGTGATGATTTAATGCTATTTCAATTGGACATCCGTATTAATTGTATAAATTGACGAATAATAATTATTATAGTTATGATAAAACCATGAAAGTAGTTCTGCTTTAGTGCCTAACTTTCACTACTTATTATTTTGTTACAATTTAGACTCATAATAAGTTAAAAATGTAATACTATTATCAATAATACCACTTTGGTAACAACAAAATATTTGGTGCTTATTTTATAGACGATAAAATATTTGAAAATGATTTAAAAATTAAAAGGATACGATATTAATGATAATACATTATCAGCAGGATTATTTTGCTTTGCTGATTAGATAATAAGTTTGTTATTAACTAGCTGCTAATGATTTTACGGCGAGACATTAAACCAAAATATACTGTAAGTGACAAAATAAAAAGTTTGTACGATTGCAGTTGTGTTATAATTATTGTTTATTTTTTATTCGTATTCATCACATTGACCAAATATAATATAACTTTGTGTTATGACCTGACGGTCATGGCCAATGTCGTTATATGGTCGTTATATTGATCTCTATTATACGTATCTACCCACTACGAATACGTAGAACATCGCGTATACAAAACAGTTGAACGTGTTTCCGACTTGCTTTCACCCATTGTCGGATTAAACTAATAGAAACTAGAGAATAACAATGTACATAATGTACCTACTGAGTACATAAAATAGTTTTAGTGTAACAGACCGGGACGTATAGGCATTAGACATTATATCATTAACTCGCACGGATTAGAAACGTTGTGCGCAGAAACCGATGGCCAAAGATCGCGGTGGACATTACGTCAAAAAGAAAAAAAAAAGAAAAAGAAAATAGCAGAAGAATAAGTGGAATTCAAAAGGCTCGTTAACCGCCTGAGACGACGACCGACGACCGACGACCTGCAGCATACGTAACACCTAATCCCAAGAATTTTCGGGCGTTCGTAACAATCGTTGCGCTTATATACATTATACCCATATAACCTAAACATAATATACACGAGAATAATGTACGCGTACGATTTTGTAGTATAATAATATAATATATTATCACTGTGCGCGTTCGTCGGCGGCAAGTGAAAGTCTGTCGGGGTGACGCGAGTCACGAGTGTTATTCAATGAAATCCTTACGGGGCTCGTGTAACGCGTGTGGGCACGCACGATGTACATAGACACATTACCGGAAACCGAATAAAACACACCGGTTTGTCACAGCCTATATTATTTGCAATGATAATAATACATAGGTAATAGCTATATAGGTTACGAAATATACCGACAATATATATATACAGGTAGGTACGTATAATGATGTGTTCATTACGCGGTTACTGAAACGTCTGAAACTATCTCATCGCAATGGCGGTAAAAACGATATCGATGACGTTTCTTGGCCGTCGCTCGATTATTATAGGCATACGATTTTGATTGAGCTATCTAATGCGATTTACGACAGGTCGGTTTGTATTTGGATACAATATATAGGTGTAGTACCTATCTACCCATAGTGATTAATGAGTAAAACGTTTGAAAATAATCACTAGGAATACTGTTTTCTTCTTCTTCTTCTTCTTATTATTATTATTATAATAATAATTCACTCTCGAACGTACGTAATGTTTCGATTCTTTGAGTCTTTTGCACTCGTACGATAGAAAATTTCGTAATAAATACCATATTCTGTACAAGTTACAAAAATCTATTTTATCGTATGTCCTCGTATACCGGTATATCATCCTAGTTAAAAACATTCTATTTTTTATTTTTTTTTTTTTTGTAAAAACTGTTTACCTATCGATCACTATTGTACAATAAGTAAAAGCGATATTAATGTTGACCTATTAAAGGAATTCAATAAGGACAAACTTTTACAAACGATCGTAT